CTCCATGCCATATTAATTATGATGATTTGAAATGAAAGTGGCAGTCGTTTAGTTACTGTCCATTTGAAAATATATAGAAGCTCTGCCAATTAATATGTCATAGACGATTCTTTTTTCCCTATGTGCTGTCTGGAGAGCTACTTATTCTTATTTATAAAACAAAATTGTTTAAAGCTTTATTATTTTGTAACCTTGAATTTGAGAAGATCATAATGTTTCATAATAAAATTTTAAACCAATTCAATAATCTGATCCGTAATACAAATATCAAAGAATGATAATTAAAGGATTCTGGCCAGTGTAATTGCAGTATTTCTGTCCAATGCACATTACCAAACAATTGTTTAGCTAAATCTCCTTATCTTTATACTATCTCTACAACAGAAAATCCGGCGACTGAAAGGTTCTATATTGGTAGTACTAAGAATTCTTTCAACAGTAAGTGGTATCAACATGTGTTGTCCTTTACTAATAATACTTAGAGAAATAATACATCACTTTCCAGATATTTTTGGATTTTGAAAAATGATAATAAAACTCCTAAGGTGAAATGGAAATTTTTAATAATGGCAAAGACATGTAAATCTTTATATGAACTGTGTTTACATGAAAAAGTTTGGAAGACATAGTGGAGCTCACACAAAACGATTTTAACCTGGCTTTCATGTTTCAATACCATGAGTATACTCCGTCAGGCGATGGTAGGTAACTTTTGATAAAAATAATTTATTAGTGAAATCTATTATCTACCATCGCCTGACGAAGTACAGTCATAGTATTCAAACATGAAAGCTTTTTGTAAAATCTTTTATCGTAATAAAAATATTAGAATAATATTTTTCTCTGCTTTATAGTGAGCACATTTAAAAAGTAAACGGTCTATCTGTTCTTTCTCTCATTTGTATATATATATATATATATATATATATATATATATATATATATATATACTCTATATGAAACTTATCAGTAAGTGCCTCATGAGATTGCAAAGATTTATGTGCAGGTGAATTCAATTTTGAAATGAATGAATAATTAAGTTTGGTTTACTAGATTGTGAAGTTATTACTAATATTTCATTTAAATGAGGTTTTGTGTCAGATTTTCTTGTGGGAAATGTTATTCATAAAGATAAATGGAACATTACTCATCAGATCCGAAAATCAACCGACCCATGCCATTTTTTCATTTGATAATAAAGGGAAGAATTTGTTACCAAACATCAGTTATATTAAGACACGTAAAAGAGATAAGCTATCGTAAGACTTCACATTCAAATAACAGGGATTCTCTTTCTATGATTTGATTGGAAATTTGTGCCCACATATGAAATATCTTCAGGCTTTCCACAGTTTCCTGTCATTTTTAGCTCTTAATAAATTTTCTCTTTTTTTTTATCTCTCCTAAACTTTGTTCATCAATCCATTTACTCAGGTTCTTTCTTCTTCTATATGCCGTGTCCTCTTAGGACATAGACGTTCATGGTTCTCCTCAATTTCCTCTCCTCTGTAAGGTCTTAATAACTTTTGTCTTGTGCCATCTCTTTCAAACCCTGCTCCACCATCCATTCACTCTGAACTCTGAAATTTTATTTACTGTTTCTTTATCTCATTTTTGTTGTTCTCATCAATAGGAGTGGATAGGTTCGACTATCGACAAGTTCACACTCCTTCCCGGTCTTTTGAAACGGATTAGAGATTTATTCTTTGTTTCGAGATTTAGGATTTAGTTTCTGGTTCCATTCACTTAAACTCACCAGGTAGATTGTGCGTCGAATTCCTCTGTCTCTCTTGCCTTCAATTTGTCCGATTCAGTATCAGATTTTCTCAGCCAACTTTATGCCAGCGAATGTTGGACGGTCTCCTCAAAGACTCGAGTCGGCGGAGCTATGGCTCTACAGAAGGGTGCTAAGGATATCATGGAGCGAGTGACATCTGTCCACCTTTATGCCAGCGAATGTTGGACGGTCTCCTCAAAGACTCTACATGAACAGTCGGCGGAGCGATGGCTCTAAGAAGGAATGCTAAAGATATCATCAGAGCCATATCCAATGATGGACATCTGTCCACCTTTATTTCGAATGTTGGACGGTCTCCTCAAAGACTCTTTCGGTGGAACAGATGTGGCTAATGACAGAAGGGTGCTAAACTTATCATGGGTGTGAGTGATATTTTTTCTCTTTGGTTTTATGCCAGCAGAATGTTGGACGGTCTCCTCAAAGACTCAAGTCATAAATCATGGACAACATATTTTTGTTTATAAATCGAATCTAAAAAAGAAAAATGTGCTAAGGATATCATGGACCGAGTTTTTTCTATCCACCTTTATGCCTTAACGAATGTTGGACGGTATCCTCAAAGACTCAAGTTTTACGAATATCTAGCTCTACAATCATTGTTATTTATTTCATGGACCCATTTGATGTTCCCTCCAATGCTTTAATGAAAAGTAGTGTTATATTGACTAGCTAAATGTCTGTTTTACGAGAAATTAGGAATCCTCAATTTGAGACTCTATCCAATTTTAGCTAATGGCTCTGACAGAAGGGTGTTAAGGATATCATGGACCGAGGTGTTTTGTTTTGATGAGGTGTTCTTAAGAGGATGCAAGCAAGAAGGAAACTTATCCTTTACATTAAGAAGAAGCAGTTGAAATTTCTGGGACACGTAATGAGAAAGTAAGTCTTTCGGAATGCACAGAGTGACAGGAGAGTTCCATAATATTTATACCAAACTGCTTGATCAATTCCTCTTCGTAATTAATCCACTAAGGAAAAATTCCAGGATGAACAAGATCGCTATCATATTAAGTACGTTTCAGTTGTGTGCCTACGCGTTTCATTCGTTTTGACATGTTCATTACCATGATAGCCGTTTTTTGTCATTGCAAACGTTGTTTTTTCCCGAGTAGTTGCCAAATGTGTGTAAAATATTTTGGTGTATGTAGAGGTGAATAGTAACGGATAAATTCTTATGGTCACTGAGTATATTATAAAGAATGAATGGGTCGTAAATTCGATTAGCTAGGTATAAGATAGCTAGTGTATCTCCAGTCATTTTTCGGCCTTGTGCGACAATTACTGTATCATTAATAAATCTTAGACAGTGATAGTGTTAATTAAAATAACAATTTCCTTTAGTTTTTTTTTTATATTTTATTATTTGCTTACCATATTTTTTATAGTAGATTAAATAAAGACTACTTTTTTCTTGTTTTATTCCGCAATATATCTATATTTAATGTATAATTTAATATAGAAAATTTTCTCAGCTAATTGAGCTATGGTCAGAAAGGTCTAGAGTGAGTCTGCGTGTCAAACATGTTGTAGTGTGGCCTATATAATTATTTACGAATTTTGATTGATCAGGAATACAATTCCCTAATAGGCATTTTAATTCGTAAAAATCCCAATATATATATATATATATATATATATATATATATATATATATATAACCTTTTTAAACCAATACCCAAGGGAAAAAGGGTAAAAAAAGAAAGAACTAAGAACATGTACTTCCGGCGAAAATAATCGTCTAGAATTAAAGTTCAGAGTCCAAAGAAAAGTGCTCAATACACTAAGTAGAGCAAACTAAGAAAACCTAAAGAGCCAGACAAACCTACCTAGGTTTTACCTACGCGGATCGTCAGGGCGGACTGGTGAAACCTAGGTAGTCTGGCTCTTTAAGTTTAATTACGCATAACTTCTTATGGTCACTGAGTATATTGTAAAGAATAAATGGGTCCTAAATTCGATTAGCTAGGTATAAGATAGCTAGTGACTTTCCCGTCATTTTTCGGCCTTGTGCCGCAATTACTGTATCATTAATAAATCTTAGACATACAACATTGTACAAAGAGCTATAATTTTTTTAGCTTAATATATCTTTGTAGTTGAAAAAAAAAATACTTAAATATAACTTGATGAAGACAGACATTCTGTTGAAATATTGTTTAAAATTGTCACACACTGTGTTATCTTTCCTTTTCCTTTTCTTAAATCGCGCTCTCCTCTTAACTGAAGAATAACAGTAATAATTATAAACTCTACAAATGAGAGGCGCCTATTTTAGGCGCGCATTACATTAATTAGTAAAAATCTTAAAGTGAACAAATATTTTTTAAGCGCTAATAAATGAAAAACATTAATAAACCTCAAGAAACACAGCAGCGATCGTAATATGAAATTTTTCTTTCAACACTTGGAATTTGTTAGCCTTAAGCACTTTTATTGGCCGGCATAGTTATTGATGTATTGATTTATTGACGTGACCAAATTTTAATTCCTTGTAATATTGGATAGAAAAAAATTATTCATTCCTTTCTTTTAAAAATAATACCAAGAGTAATATTTTAACTACTACTATTAATAATAACAATAATGATGATATATAGGCCTATTTCGTGGATTTATGCCATTAAAAAATTCAAACAAAATTCCCATTTTTTTGATTTGAACAAGAACTCCAGCGTCGCGGCTTCGCACGCTCCAAAATAATGTAACTGCCAATAAACAGAATATTTAAAAAAAAATGATCTTTCGGTCTGTGCTACAAATATTTCGTCTTGCTGTTTTGCCTGAAAATGGAAAAAAAAATTGCGCCTTGAAGATGACAATTTTGAAATTGTTGAAAATCTATTGGCTAGTCATTTCCATCTTACAACAACTCAAATATAGTGTAACCCGGGTATAAGAAACCCGGATATAAGAGAAACCCGGATATAAGAGAGATTTTCTCTGGTCCCAAATTAGAGCCTGTGTTAATGTATATAAACCCTGATATAAGAGAAACCCGGATATAAGAGACTTCTCCGGTCCCGACAACTCTCTTACATCCGGGTTACACTGTATATGTTTATTTAACATTATGGTTTCAGATTTTGAAATGTTTAACGAAGTTTCACGTTGATATCGACTTAGGACAAAGTTTACATAACGGAGACAATATAAACATGTAAACAAAATATTATACAATATTAAATGCACATTTAAGACAATCATGGTAGACACGAACTTCTCATATCAATGTCGAAAACGTATCGTTTGAAGAAAAAATATTTTTGAACGATATCGTAAAGGTTCTGCCGACTTGAGTATACTTAAACTCCCGAATCTAACTCTTGAAAAAATTCTTTCTGATGTTCCCTTTGTATATATATAAAGAATCGTATTATTCAAAGAAATGACAGTAAGTTAAATAAACACGAAAGATCTCATTTAAATATTCTTCGACTTCTACCAGACTCTATTCGTAACATACTTGTTGAAAACACAAATATAATAGCGTCATCTACATGCCAAAAAAAAAAGGCTAAAAATAATGGAAGTTTTATTAATAAAAAAAACAACAAAAAAACAAACAAACAACACTCAATAATATCAACTCTGAACATGGACACAATACCGTGTTTTGAAAAATGAAAACATTATATAAAAACATACATGCAACAAACTACTTCTTATTGAACAGCTAAAATATTTCGTCATTGAAAATGTCTAAATGTATAGCCGAAAGCGCTCGGGTTAAAAGAACATTCGGATAGTTTTTATATAATTTATCACCTGAAAAGAAAAAAATATTAGCACACATGAGAAATTGTATAAAAACTAAATCAAAGTACCTCATCTGTCGTATTCAATGAAATATTCATAAATATATATATACGTGTATATATATAGTCATCCACAGACAGACTGTTTCATATATATATATAGATCATCATATATGGCTATATATTCCGTTGCCTATAGCTATATATATCAAAAACCCGTCTAAATTCGCGTCAGTCAGGGATTCTACTACTAAGCCGTTGGCGCACGTCAGGGATGAAGGTGAATTTAAGCGTATTTATTTTTAGATAAAGACACAGTGACTGAGAGAACTTCATTCATTTTACCGAAGAGTCTTGCATTATTAGCCATTATAGTCACTGTTTACAAATGATTCCTCCCAGATAGCTCAACTTTAATAAATATATATATATAAGTTATGAAGAACTTGGTAATCCGTATGGGTAATCCCCAGGAGGATGAAATCATGTTGAGCTCAATGTTTATCCAGAGCTAAAATTTAAAAAAAAAAAAAAAAATTTACCACTTTAAAAAGTCCCATTATAATAATATATTTTCAAAGAGTCCTTTTAAAGGACGCTGGATCATCAGATAGACTTCCAAAAATGAAATGAAACGAAAAATGAAAATTGTTGATATAATTTAAGTTTTGTAATTTAACAGAGAGTGTAAAATTTTAGTTAAAGAGAAATGGTAGAGTATAGGGAGGGATTAATTTCATATCTCTCTCAAGTATAAAAAAAATTGGGGGAGGAGGAGGACCCAGACCTTGACCTATTTTTTTAACTTAACGGAAGTGATATATTGAAATGGGAGGGGATTCGAGGGAAAAAAAAAAAAAAGGAAAAGAAAGAAGAAGGAGAGAGGAAGTAAAGAGAAAGAGGCTGTAATTGGGTTTTAGCAATTTATGTAAAGAATAGATTTTAATGCTGTATAGAAATTTAGATGTCTAAAAAAAGAAAAAAATATTTGATGTTTGCTATCAATTTAAATATTTAATTTTTTAAAACAAATAGTTTAAGGATTTAACATAAGTTAAATGCTATATTTATTAACATTAGAGAACATATTAAAAATTTATTTTTGTTTATAATAAAAACTGTTTATCCGTCCAATATATATATATATATATATATATATATATATATATATATATATGATATGATGGATATCTCCTATCGATTTCGACGTATGATTTTAAAACAACTTTTTAATGACCTTTATTATAAAGGAATTGAAGAGTGACATTTCAGACCCACTAATGAAATTTCAAAGAAAAATATAGATTGGGCAATTTTGAGCAAAGAATATAAAAATAAATACCTTCTGAACAAGGTTTTATTTTCTTTGATTCACATAACATAAATGACAACGCTTGCCGCCGAAAATTCCTGATTCCAGTGTAAGTTAGAAAAGATTATAAACTTTAAAATGTTAGGCAGTATTCTCCAAATCAGTGTAAAATATTTGCAGCAAGATCCATTACTTTTCAGCTTATCTTTAAATATGAGTTTAGGGTCGTTAACATTCCGTTGACCATTACTACTTCAACTGGCCTGAATGAGAATCTTTATGAATTTACCATTCTTGCATCCGTACAACATGAAAAGCCCAATCTACTGTGCCCTCATGAGGAATCTCTCAATTCCGTCAATGTTACATCATCGTTAGAAGGTTGCATTGGATATATATATATATATATATATATATATATATATATATATATATATATATATATATATAAATTCAGAATTTGAAGTTTGTTGGGTATGTTGGAATTGCTAAGACAGGATAGTGTCAACACTGCGTAAATATCTATTTGGTAACACAGATTAACTTGAAGAGGCCAGGATCAGAAATAGGGTATGTCCAAGGATAGAGCCCTGTAGACCACCGCGTTAGTAAGAAATTATCTAGAAGCGTGCCCGTTCAACATGAACGTCATTACACTATTTGTTAGGAACGATCGAAATCAGCCAAATATTCATCCCGTGATACCGTACCCCTTGAGCTTGCGGAGAAGGCACGCATGCGAAGACACTGTCGAACGCCTTTAAGATATCTAGAGCCACAGCGCGAGATTCGCCATTCTTATGTAAAGCTTGACAGAATAATTCAGTGATGGCGGCGGTAGGTATTGCTTTAACGGAATTTATATTGTTTATCCGAAAGGATCTTTAAATGCAATAAAATGCTTAAAAATTCGGCGTTGATTTTTCCTCAAAAAAAGATTTCATATATTTCAACTGCAACACGAACTACTCAGTCATAGAAGGCCGACTCTTTCTTTAGGGAAACGGCTAATTTTACCATTACGATTACACCTAAAAAAAAATCTTTCCCAGAGAATTAATATAAAATCTTCTGTGATTGTGCTTCGGATGGATCACCCAATACAAGGGAGAAAACAGTATTTGTTAATCAATGAAAATAAAAAATATATTTCGGCATGAAATTTTGAAGGTGTTCAAGTATAAAACCTTTACTTATAAATTTAAATTCTTCAATCGTACGCTATCAAATACGTCTCTTGAAAGTTCGGAATACGAGACTATCTCTCTCTTTTTAATCAAGCTTTTGTAATATTCCAATACCTCACTTGTGGCTTCGGATTATTCGACCATCTCTATCTATATTTCTGAGATGAGGTATTATGCACATTATTTACATTATTCGGACTATTGTCCTCATATTTGGCGCCATAGTTGTACTTCAGGTGATTGGTTTCGCTCACTGGGGTAGACTGTTCTAGTTCCACATGCCATGTTTGATGGATGTTATTAGTTATCTCCAGTTAATTTCCCTTCTGCCTGAACCGGGTATTGAACTCACACTCTTTGGGTTCTGTCACTGGATCCAACGCCTTTATCCACTGTGCCATGTGTCTTTGAGGACATCTGGGCATCTGGGTATTATAAACCTAATGTCTTCAGCAACCATTTTTACCAGTGCTCATATTGCAATTTTGCTGTTATCATTGCATGTTTTTACCAGAGCTCATATCAGACATTAATATGAATAAATTAATATATTAATAGACTCGACATCGTGAAAAGGGGTAATCTACGACTGTCATTGTCATCGATGAAGTCGAATTAAAAAAAACAAAAACAAAAACAAAAAAAAAAAAACTCGTAGAGCAGCATAAACTCCAGGGAACTCATTAAACAAATCTGCACATTTTAAAATTTATTTTTCACTTGCAGTTATTTTATTAGTAAAATGTTCCATAAAATTAAATACAAGTTCATTTCTTTAAATTCGTTTTACTAAAAAATAAAGCAGATACATTTAATATTTCTCTAATACAATACCTAAAATTATCTAGTAGTAAAAAGAACATTGTCTTTTTCATCTGGCAAAATCTATCTATCTATCTATCTATCTATCTATCTATCTATCTATCTATCTCATCCCCATTCCTATCTATAACAGTCTGTTCGTCATCTATCTATCTATCTATCTATCTATCTATTATTCTATCTATCTCGTTCAATTCCTATCTATAACAGTCTGTTCCAATTCATCTATCTATCTATCTATCTATTCATCTATCTATCTATCTATCTATCTCGGTCCGAATTTCCTATCTATAACAGTCTGTTTTTATTTATCATCTATCTATCTATCTATCTATCCAGTATCTATCTATCGCAGTCTATTTCTATCTATCTCCCTAACAATTCCACTTTTATCACAGTCTGTTTTATCTTATCTATTCATCTATCTATCTATCTATCTATCTATCTATCTCAATCAATTTTCTATCACAGTCTTTTAATTATCTAATCATCTCATTCTATCTATCTATCTATCTATCTATCTCGGTCAATTCCTAGCTATCACAGTCTGTTCGTATCTATCTATCTATCTATCTATCTATCTATCTATCTCGGTCAATTCCTAGCTATCACAGTCTGTTCGTATCTATCTATCTATCTATCTATCTATCTATCTATCTATCTATCTATCTATCTATCTATCTCAGTGTCTTTCTATCTCAGTCTATTCTTATCTATCTATTTCAGCCTGTTCTTATCTATCTAATCTATCTATCTATCTATCTATCTATCTATCTATCTATCTATCTATCTATTAAACAAATTGATTAATCAATAAGAGACTATATATCAATAATAATAACATAACCTGACATGTAATTCTGATTAAAAAAAAAACATAAGGTTATTCCGGAAGTGAAATATCATTGCTCTTCACATATTCCGTTCCTTTATTATCTGAGATTTGCCATCAACTCTTGGATTCCCCTGCATTGATAAAAAAGATAAATATATTGGCAGATAAATATTCATTACATAAGAGAAAAGATATCTTCTGTCTTTAGCCTACGAAATCAGTGATATGCACATGAACTTTTAAATTTCAAATTGATGAGCCAGAACAATTATTCACCCTGGAAATCGTTATTGTAACGACCTCTTTTATTCCAACCAGCCCTTCTATTTGAAATTATCCATCTCTGATGATTACTAGATTGCTATCTTAATTTAATCCGCTTCCTTTTCATTAATGAAGATTATGAGGATATGTAGGATATATAACAATTGATCTCTTATTTGAAAAGGATACTGTTATGTTCAGGGAAGCAATCACGTGGGAGCATGTTATAAAATGTACCAGTCTTTGAGAAAAAAAAGATGTCCGAGTGAAAGTTTCTTTAGTCATTCGGAATAGGAAAAGGTGGGAGATTTCAACCCAAGCGGGAGTACCACTAGTACGCGGAGTGAAAGGAAGGACTGAGTGTAGGGAGGATTGAGGAAAGAGCATAAATTGAACGGGATTCAGGGGGATAGAAGATGCGGATTGACGTTGCATTTCAATTTTTTAAGGTTGTAGTTAGCAGGGAAGCAAATGAATAGAGAGAGTTCCACAGGTGGGGAGTGCGAGAAAAGAAACTATTGGAGTAGAATTGGTGGTTGCATTTAGCTCTTCCAACAGTAAACGAGTGCGTCCTAGATGCCAATCTAGTAGCACGCTTAAATTTATACAGTCGCGGAACCAAGGCAAAAAAAGCTCGTTAGAGCAGTTTCCATGAAAATATCCGTACGAAAGTCTGTGAGAAGCCACTGCACGTCTGTGAGAAAGTTGAGATGCCAGGTCAGGATAGATTAGATTACAGGAACAGTATTCAATGCACGGGCAAATGGTAGATTTGTAAATGTGTAATATGGATTCTGACAAAAGAAAACTTCTGGCACGACACAGTAAACCTAGATTTCCTTGCAGTAGATGCAGCTATGATTCGATGTGTTCGCTCTAATTCAAGTCAGTTGAAAATGGGAGGCCAATAAGGCGCAGTGTAGTTCTTTGCACGTGGAAGTGGCATGGCTTGCCCTAATTCTACAGCTTTTAACAGCCCATCTGAACATTTTCCATGGAAATAGCGATAGATTAGCGACATGCTTGTAACATAGCGTCTTTAAGGTGCATTGTGTTGCTCTGCAAGTGTCTAGCGTCAGCCATAATGATATCAAGGAGAAAAGGTGTTCTACGATTTTAATTTGCCTCCGTTGAAGTTGCATAGCTTGCCCTAGCTCTACAGCTTTTAACAGCCCATCTGAAAATTTTCCATGGAAGTGCGGATACAGGCTTGTGACGTAGCGCATGTAAAGAAGAGTCTGGTAAATGGAGAATAAATTTTCCATCCCGAGATCGTGTAAGCAATTTTGAATTCTATCAAGGCTGGGAAGTGGGGAATTAACAGCGTCTGTCTAGCTATTTTTGATTATGACAGATAATATGATGGGCAAATCTAACTTACTTTAAAGTAAGAACTTCACAGTAAATGTCTTCAAGAAAAAGAGATCTTATTTTTAGTTATAAGATGATACTTCGAGACAAATTTAATATCTTATTTCAGTTTTTAAATTCGTGAATTCAAAACTTTACTTTTAAATGAGAGTTTAAAATTTCAATAAAATAATTTAACTTCTAATTCCTCTTTACAAATTACGAATGACTTTGAAAACTTTGATTTATTAAATTTCATTTTCATAATCAATTAAGATTGTTAAAAGAATTTCTTAATTAAAATGAAATTTATGGAATTTTTTGTACATTTTTTGTCTTTATTCCAGGATTATAACAAAAACTTTTTTCGTAAAAAAATATCCGAAAAAAATCAATAATTTAAAAAAAATGTTTTATAGTTGTTTTTTGTTTTTGTTGTTGCTTAATCAAATGCTTCAGTAACTTAGATAATGAATATTTCTTTTTAATAATGCCGGACCTAGATAATGACGTTCAGGAGATATGAAGTTAAAAGAGAAATAGTTAAAATAAAGCGATCAAACAATGCAACAGAAGATTAAAACTACCGCCATGATCAAAAAAAGTTAAAAAAAAAAAGAGAGAAAATAATTAAAATATTTAGAAATATTAAAACAGACGAACAGGTCCATATCCTCCATCAATCAACCCGTAAACAAATTCAAAAGACGAAACAAACATTGCTCAGAGGAAAAAGCAGGAAAAATAATTTGCCACCAGTGATCGTCGGCCAACAAAGTCCACTATACAGAACGACGAACATGGCGGCATACATCAGTATCATCATCATTGAAATATACCGCAAAACGAACACATCGAATTAGCATAATACACGTTCATCTTCAATCGCACTGTCACCACAGTAAATTTCAACTCAGTTGTCACCATCGATTTTGAATCTAGCATCATATATATGCTTGGAAATTATATCAGCTTCATGAAAGGATTCAATTTTTGCCTTTATTATCAGCAGCATACACGTTAGAGGCCCATTATTACATTCTCTGACTACCATTCAGCTTCTAACGATTCTATCACAATCAGTTGATTATCTATCTATCTATCTATCTATCTATCTATCTATCTATCTATGTAGGTGGCAACCTATCTCTTTCACTTAATATCTATCTATCTATCTATCTATCTATCTATCTCAATTATTTCATTATCTATCTATCTATCTATCTATCTAGGAAGGTAGGTAGTTATGTATCTAGCTATCTCATTGAATCTATCTATCTATCTATCTATCTATCTATCTATCTATCTATGTACGTATGTAGCTAGCTATCTACGTCATTCATTTATTATCTATCTATCTATCTATCTATCTATGTAGGTGGCTATCTATCTCTTTCACTTAATATCTATCTATCTATCTATCTATCTATCTATCTATCTCAATTATTTCCTTATCTATCTATCTATCTATCTATCTATCTATCTATCTATCTATGTAGGTGGCAACCTATCTCTTTCACTTAATATCTATCTATCTATCTATCTATCTATCTATCTATCTATCTATCTATCTTCTATCTCAATTATTTCATTATCTATCTATCTATCTATCTATCTATCTCTCTAGGAAGGTAGGTAGTTATGTATCTAGCTATCTCATTGAATCTATCTATCTATCTATCTATCTATCTATCTATCTATCTATCTATCTATGTACGTATGTAGCTAGCTATCTACGTCATTCATTTATTATCTATCTATCTATCTATCTATCTATGTAGGTGGCTATCTATCTCTTTCACTTAATATCTATCTATCTATCTATCTATCTATCTATCTATCTATCTCAATTATTTCCTTATCTATCTATCTATCTATCTATCTATCTATCTATCTATCTATCTATCTATGTAGGTGGCAACCTATCTCTTTCACTTAATATCTATCTATCTATCTATCTATCTATCTATCTATCTATCTATCTATCTATCTATCTTCTATCTCAATTATTTCATTATCTATCTATCTATCTATCTATCTATCTAGGAAGGTAGGTAGTTATGTATCTAGCTATCTCATTGAATCTATCTATCTATCTATCTATCTATCTATCTATCTATCTATCTATCTATCTATCTATGTACGTATGTAGCTAGCTATCTACGTCATTCATTTATTATCTATCTATCTATCTATCTATCTATCTATGTAGGTGGCTATCTATCTCTTTCACTTAATATCTATCTATCTATCTATCTATCTATCTATCTATCTATCTATCTATCTATCTCAATTATTTCCTTATCTATCTATCTATCTATCTATCTATCTATCTATCTATCTATCTATCTATCTATCTCTGTAGGTGGCTATCTATGTAGGTGGCTATCTGTCTGTCTGCTACATATAAGAATTCTCTTAATAAAACCTGCTCGCTTATAATTGCTGGCCTGATGGATACTTTGTTTTACATATCTGCGTTTGAACATACAAGCCATTGAAAACAAATTCCAATCTGATATGATTTGGTCCTTTTTTGGCAAGTTACCAGAATAAAATTTCAATCGTACACCCCCACCCCCACACACATACACATACACACACAGATGCATATGTGTGTATATGTGTTGTAAACCATTATTCATGTGCGACGCATCCGTTTGATTTTGGTCTAAAGAATTCTCCCGACGAAATTTAGTATTGATTTATAAGCCGGTTATTTTAGAATCATTTCGCAGTTTTTGGATTATCAGCAGTTCTACTTAGGCGGGAATCAAAAGGAATCCGAAAATGGCCGACGATCAGAAAATGGCCGACAATCAGAAAATGACCGACTCATAAGCATCATAGTTTTAAGTGGCAATTTTTGATCTTAAATGTTAGCAATTTTAGTGATCGGTATCCTTAATATAATACCGATATATTTTTATAACGAATGTATGTATTAAAAAAGAAAAAAATAATAATGCTTACGATATACCGGGTGTAACAACAAAATTGTACAAATCGTGTAACAACGTGGGATAATTGTCCATCCCACCAAGTTTATTTTCTTAAAAAAAAAACAAAAAAAGATAAAAACACTAGACTAATAAAAACACTAGACTGAATAACACAAAGGTTTGTTTTAGTGATTATTACGTCAAATACTGTAAAAATGGCTAGACGTCTTATCTCAAAATCTGGAAAAAAACAAAACTCAATTAGTCTAGAGTCTGTCTATATTTCTGAGATGAGTTATTATGTACATTATTTACATTATTCGGACTATTGTCCTCGTCTTTGTCGCCATATCTATATGAGTATTGAACTCACACTCCAGTGACAGGACCCAAAGAGTGTGAGTTCAATACCCGGTTAA